CATATACTGGTCTTTCGGTGTATCTGCTGAGTGGTACTTTCGGTTGGCACGCTGCACTGCTCGCTGACGCTCAGATTCAAATCTCATTTCTTCTATAACTGTTGGCAATATCGCGCACAGTATAAATAATAAATCCGCCGCAAACCTTTATTTTTCCTTTTCTTAAATAATCCCAAAAAAACAATAGGGACAACTGCAGCTAGGAGGATAGTTTCTGGTGAAAGTAGTTATTACTTAGGCTATTCTGAAACTATCTTCTACAAAAATGTGAAAGTGAGTTTGATTGGGAACCAACAAACCCACCTTCGGTAAGATCCTACTCTTACTTTCATATAACACTTTTTACTTTAACTAACATATACCTTTACTAGCAAGTTGATATAAATGATTTAAATTAAATTTATGATAATTACAATTACTACAGTCGCCGTACTGATCAGGTCCTTCTGGTAATGGTAAGAAATGTATACGACCTAAAGAACCAAAACATTTCTTACAACTACGATAATTTAAATACATAATTTCATTACCTTTACTAATTTCTCAATATTATTTTCTCTTTTATTCTTGTCCCTACTTCAAAATATGTTTCTGTATGAATTTGTCAGGAACACCAACATAGTGGTATGAGGGTTTCGTGTCAGCGACGTTTGTATTTACCGAGCACAGCTATGCCGGGTCCTTCCACCTAGAATTTTTTGACTTTGTTCAGTCAAAAATCAACCTTTTTTCTCTTTCTCATTTATTTTTTTCTTGTAGAAACGCGTAAGACGTCGTGCTTTTTCCGCTATCATTTTACGAAAATCTCGGATTGCGGTCAGCTTTTGGTCCAGTGCAACCAACTCCCACCACAACACTTCTTCATCGGTCCACACTCCAGCATTCCTGCAAAAATTTCTTGCATAATTACAAGAAAGCTCCTTTTTTTCAGTTCAAAAAAAAATACTCTAAAATTCTTAGTTGATTCAACTATGGCAAAAATCTCCACATATAACATTCACAACTGAACAAAATTTCACCTCAAAGGGTCCTTGGGATTGTCATCCAAAAAAACATCATTGTATTGTTGGTGCTCCGACTCTGGCCAATCTTCTGTCACTGCCAGTGTTTCATCCTCGTCACTAAAATTTTATATTTATCCCAAAATTGAATGCTTGAACAGCTGTATATCATCGACGCCCGTTGTCAAGCCATCGATGCAGCGCTGGCAACTTCTCCATCCGATTCGTTGCTGCGCTCTCCGAGTCCACGCCATACCGTACAGGCGTACCATGGGGTCCGGCCTTCTCATATATTTAATATTTATCACATATCATATTTAATAATCACGGCACAGTGGGAAAACAGCATTTTTCTCATGCAGAAAGCTCGATTCCCATAGTGGGATAAACAATTCCACGACTTATCTATTCGTTGCGATGTCATATTAGTGCTGGAACATGTCAGGGTGTCAAAACCGCCAACAGCTTGCTTTCTAAACAATTCCGGAAAAAGTGAACCATAAACAGCCTTGTCAGCGTGTGGCTGCTACCGGACAGCCTTGTCAGCGTGTGGTTGCTATTGGACAGCCTTGTCAGCGTGTGGTTGCTGTTGGCACTTGCTGCACTCGAAATGCTTTCGAGTGCCTCCGTTTCTCAAAAAAAAGAAACAAAACGAAAGTTTTGGCGGTGAAACAACCTACCCACTGAGCAAAAAATCATCCGATTCGTCCAGCAAATCCTTTTCGATACGTCGTCGCTCAGCAGCAGAATGTTCAGCCAGGCGTTGGAAAAAGCGAGTATGCTAAATAAAACACAAATAATTAATTACAAGCAGATTTCATTCCGGGATTCCCTTACAAACGATAGATGACTCCTAATCAGTGTGGAAACTCATCGCAGTTAAGACGGGTTTTACAGGAAAACCGTTATTTCAGAAACCAGGTAAGCTAGAAAGCTGAAATTTTGTGAAAATGATCTCCGCCCACTTATGGTCTAAAATTTGAAACTCATTTAATAAGTACATCCGATCCTCATGTGCCGACATGTAGAAGTTTTGACACAAAAACTACTAGCTAATTAACCACAAAAGATAGAGGGCTGAAATTTTAGGGGGATATTCTCTGTGCATGTGCGATTTAAAAATTCGCGCAAAAATGCATGATCGCACCGGCAAGCTTGCTGCGCTGCTATCTGGGTTCTTATCTGCTTACAATTTTTTAATTTTTTTTTTTTTTCAAAAAAACCTTCTTACCACTTCACAGAAGCCTTCTTCGGTCAGTTTCGAAGGTGGTCGGTAATTTTTGCATGCCCGTTGCGTTCGTCGACTGACATATGCACACTGCTTCATGGTTGCCTCGATTGCATTCATGTCCTTGACCACTCGATACTTCCATGCCCGTCGGCTTATATGGGCTCGCCGACTGTCCTCCGTCTCTTTTTGCTTCAGTTTCTGGGGAAAAAAAAAGAAAATCCCTCTTAACGACTGCAAATATAATGCTGCTAATAAGCTTAACAAAAGTACTGTGCACTCCATTCACCTCGCTGCACTTTCCCGGAGGTAATGTTATCCGGAAAGAGTGGAAAGGACAGAACTCTGCCAATAACAAAAAAAAAATCCATTGACAAAACTGCCGGCAATTCTGCCTTTTCGACAACTGCTTGAGAAGCAAGCTATGCAAGCCAGTAATAATTTACCGCCAGAGTGATTCATCAAAGAAATTTTAAAAAACCACAGAAGATAGAGAGCTGAAATTTTAGGAGGATATTCCTTGTGCGAAGTGATTCGAAGAAAGAAATCACTTGTTTTAAATACAATTATATCGTAATTTGTGGAAATCTTCAGACTTAATCTTGTGCTTTCAGTTACAGCAGGAAACAAAAATTTTGTCCTACTTCTCAATGGTATATGGCAGCATTCCAATAACACCACTAACATGGAATAATACTCACAGTGAATGCTCGGGCA